AAAGCATAGATCACGGAATTCAAGCGTTATTTAGAAGGAAAACTCAAAGCGAGAAAAATATATGGTTAGTATAAGGAACTAGTATTGGGGGAATGAGGTCACACGTTCCTAACAATGTTTTAATAATTACTACGTAATAATTACGTTTTAAAGTAGTAAAATAATGTTTAAAAAGAGAAAATTATAGGAAGGTTGCCAGTCTTCATTTACAAAAAATTACTTAGATTTTCTGAAACTCAAAATATCAGTCCGGTTACATTTTATTCTGATGCGCGTTAAATATATGTAATTTTCGATGTGAATAAAAAATATTTGTAATATCGTAAATATTCAAACGAGCAAGAAATTCCCAAATTAAATGCTTACGCTGTAAAAGCAATTTTTCCTGCGAAAAAAAAATTGTCAAAAAATTTACATATTTTAAAATAAAATCAACTGATGACGTTATAATGAAAGAAATCGAATCATAAAATTATTCTTTGATTTATTTACACAAGCGCATACAACCAGAAAATTTAATCCTATTTGCTAAAAAACTTTAAATTTGATCTAAAAAAAAAAATCAACAAATTTCATCAAATAAAAAGTCGCATAATTGTGTTAAGTGAAATTCAATTTAATTGTGATCAAGAAGGGTTTCTCTAAACACTCTTTTTTTGTGTGTCTTAAACAAAAAAAAAAAACATTAAAGCGAATCTTGCTTTTTTGTTTTGTGGGAATAACAAAAGAATGATGCGCAATATTTTCATTTTTATATTATCAATTGGTATTTATTTTATGCCATAACGAAATCCACCCCTAATATCATTATTGTTATTATTAATGAATATTTCCATATAATGAAATTGATATTTCTTTCATGCAACATTTTAAAGAGCGTTTAAACAGAATTGAAGTTAATGTACAAAAATGATAGTGAATTTTCACTTGCAAACTGAGGGCGTTTACTAAAAATAAAATTCTATACGTCAACTTGACGTTTTTCAGTTTTAGTAAAATTTGCAGAAAGTTAGATTTAATTTTGGTATTGCTTACCAAAATGTCAAAGAATAGTCAAATCCAAGTTAACTCAATAAATTTTTAGAATGCGCTCACTCTAAGCGATATATTTTTTTATTACTCGCTAAAATGCATAACAAAAGCAGATTCTGGCTTAACTAAATAATTCTTAGTAAAAAGTGGAATGTTAACTTGACAGAAAAAGGTTTACATTTGGTAGATGCCCCAAGTCATCGCCAAACTTTAAAACTTCAACAACACCTATTTGCTAAACATAGAACTTGAACTCGATTTGAAAATTTGTGAAAATATCAAGTTATCCCAAGTAAAATTAAAATTGCAATACTACAATAAAATTCGTGCAGTATTTAATTATCAAGCAATTCACAAACTTATTACCAGTTCACAAACTTATTAACAGTTCACAAACTTAACAAGTCAATTCACAAACTTAATCTAGTATAAATATTTACTGTAACAAAATATTAAAAAGGGAATTACCAAAAATTTTAATAGGCCGCAGGACCAACGATATTTTTTTTTCTCTTTTCATTTTATGTGATTCTGATTCTTGATTTGATTTTAACTTTTGCTTTGTATTTAATTTATCATTAAATTAATAATTGAATAAATTTATTTTTTTTCGTTGTGACATACGTTAACTGACATTTAAAAAATGTTAAATAAAATGAACTCATACGAGCAAGGAAAAAAAAAAAGTACAAAATAATGAAAAAAATTAAACACACTATTGTTTTGTTCCTCCGCCAAAAAAAATTAGTAATTATACCGTTATCGAACAATAGAGAGTTACCAAACGTCATAATGTTGTAAGATTGTTTTTCTCTCCTCCTCTCTGTAAAAAAAACTACTCTTTTTATGAGTAATTGAAAAAAAAAAAGGAATTTTTTTTAACCCTCAATCACAAACAATTACTCAACGCTTTGTAACATTCAAATTTGAATACAACAGTGATATGAATAGGTAGGGAAGATCTACAAATTTTTTTCTATTGAACCTTTAATTATAAAAATATTTTTATCTATTTATATTTGAAATGTGTGTGAATTTTTAGTAAAAGAAATGTTATAAATAAAATATCAGGATCATTTTCCAAATTGAAGAGCATCTCTTTATACTTATATTATAATGAATTTTACGCCTTTTCCTGTCGCAACAATAATAATGCTGACACAATGCATACAATATAGAAATAATTTACATATATGTTTGTATGTTTTTAATTCAGATTTATTTTTTGTGATTTAAATAATTGATTTATTGATAGAAAGTATAAGGCTTTGTAATGTATGTATGTAGATGAATAGTGTATGTGCAAGTATGTATATCCAATCAATGTTATTTATGTAAATAGGAACTTGTTGCTACCATTAAATTGATTGGCGAACACGCCAGGAGAATGAAACGCCCGCCCGCTAACGATCTCTGCAGGAATTGCTGTGACGAGGGAAAGGAGGAGACGGTGTTTGATGTACTTCGTGTTCATACCGAGCTTTGGCACAGAAAAGGCGGAGATTCCTTGGACCAGATTTACTTTTGCGAGTCACGGACCTGGGGAATGTGAATGCTAGGGATCTAAATCGGTTTATAAAGGACTTGGGTTGGTTCACATGAGCGTGGGAATGTAGAATAGATTTTATTATGAAAATTACAAGATTTTTAAATAACAACCCATTACAAGTCATGCAACTAACAAAATATGGATCAATGTTTTGCACATTGAATATGAACAACAAACTGTTCTAATTCACTTACTATTGTGATTCACTTTTTGTTTTTTATTATTAGTGTATTGTGTATTTTATACTATACGGTCTCGATAAAAAATAGTTTTTCCAAAAAACCACGTTTGTAAAAATTCACCCTCAATAGTAATCTGGAAATTCTATTAAACTACAAATATTAAATTAAACAATTTACTTTTAGCATTGACTTGTTCAAGGATCATCATTTATCATAAAAAATACTAGCACAAAAAAATTAAATATTTTACTCTCACAGTTTTATTTCCTTTGGTTTCAAATCAATTTTTATGATTCGCTTTGTTTTTCTCCATTCTGAATGCCATTCTATACAAAAATCAAGAAATATAATTCTTTAATTGAATTGTCCATTTGTTTAGTTTTTTCGCCCATTTGTTGAGTAAATAGTTGCAAATTCGTTTGGAGACATGAGGAGCAAATCATAGATACTTTAACGGAATTAATGGAAGTATTACAATAAATATGTACATTTTATATTCTAACATTTAAATAAAAATTCTAATGCAAGAACAATGAGCGACTATACTATATGGATAAAAAAAAAGTTTCCTCATATAATACAAAACCCTTACTCTAACACTAACTTGAAAATAATTTGTATATTTTGAGAAATTATTAAAGAAGTTTTGTGTACGTAAACTACAAACACAAATAGGTAAACAAGAAATATAAAGACTGCCACGTGCAAGACTTTAAAACATGTTTTGAATTTTAAATTCCTTATTTTTGTTAGTCCTGTTTTTAATTTAGAAATCATCCCATTTTTTGTTTATACAATATAAAGCAGTACTATCTTTTACGATGAAAAGATGAATGAAATTGTGACATTTTCATCTATGTATTCAATTTTTCATTCATCATCAATTCAAATGATTTAACTGGTGTCATGAGTAACCAAAACAAAAAAAAAAATTTGTAAAAAAACTGATGTGAATATTTTTATTTTACAAAAAGTAATTTAGAACATTTTTCACTGTACCTACTCAATTGTTGTTCTACTCTTGAATGAAGAAAAAACGAGGAAATGAAAGTTATACTTAATATTTATAAATTATATATGTATATAATTTAAGTTGTTTGTCACAAACAAAAAAAATAACCAAATTGTTTGTTAGATGAATTAATTTTTGATTTAAAAGCGGACAAGCGGAGGAATATGTATACTAAGAGGTAATTAACAAACCATAGTTTTTTACCGACCCTAATGTTTGAGTAAACCTACTACGATCCAATAATTATCAAAGGATTTATATGACACCTACATATAAATTAATGTATCTGCAGCATAAATTTTAATTGCCATTTTATGAGAAAAGATTTTGTAAAATTTATTGATCGAAATCATTAAAATATTTCAAATATTTTAAATTCGGTGAATCAAAGCTGGCATTTCTGTATTTGTAGCCACTTTTAAACTTATTTAATAGCTCTTTTTTTAAAGAAATTACTACTTCCATACATGAGCATCCTCTAGTTGAATTGATTAATAATTCTTATTTTTACATGCATGTATTCGTTTTGCAAATAGAATTTATTAAATAAAAAAAAATAATTTCCTATTAACTTCTATTGAAATTTTAATTTAAATTTTTGCATTTGTTTGCCAAATAAGGCTTCATCATTAAAATTTTTCGAAAAATTAATTTTGATTTCATTATTAAAATAGAATTTGTAATTTTACAATTTTACAATTTTCATTTCTAATGATTCCTTTAGTATTCATTTTGAAAGATTATTTTTTTTATTGTAGAACAATATTAAAATTATTGACATGTTATGAAAGAGAAATGAATAGATCCACGAAAATCTACATTATTTTGTAAGTGAATCATTTTCATTTTCAACAATGTGCTCTAGATTCAATGTAGGAATATGTTAGATCCCCAATAAAAATACAAAGTATAAAAATTTTATTAGTAACATGCTAGGCATATCAATGCATAATAAAGATTTTTCTATATAAAGCCGTTGAAATTGTTTGCAATGGGGCTGGCAGCTACCTACTTATTTATAAATCCTAAAAGATCATACTAATTTCTAATAGAGAATAATAAAAATTTAAATTTAACAACAAATTTCAATGAAATTTTTCTAATTAAATTATTAATATTAAAAGTTGTCAGATAACAATTACATATATTATTTTTTCAAGTAAATCCAAAATTTAAAAAAACGTAGAACAATTAAACAAAGAAAAAATGCTTATCAATTTCCATTTAAATTATCATCCTTGCTTAATAAATAATTAGCAGCAATTTCTTCATTTCTCTCACAAGCTAAATATGCCTCAACACATTCACTTTCCGAAAAACCTAATTCCATTAATCCTGTAATTGCATTCCAATCATTTCCACTGATTGTAACTACACCGTTCTCATTTACAGTATCATTTTCGTTAACAACTGTAGAATTATTATGAAATTGTATTGGTTCATTTATCATATCAATAAAATCATCTTGATTTTGACTAATTAATTCAAGTAGACCAACATTTGTTTCACCAATTCGTTGAATAACAAAATCAATCATTGACGGATTTTGTTGTAACAATACACGTATTTGTTGAAATTGTGGATTATTACGTAAAAAATCTAATGGTGATGATCTATGAATTTGTTCTGTAGCATTTTGTTGATTTGATTCCTGATATTGAGAATTTGTATTTCCTGATATTGCTGATTGTTGAACTTGTTCATTAATATTTTCAATATGAGATAAATTAGTTTCAATTTGATTTTGTACTTCAATACAAGAGTTTCCATGCAATAAATAATCAACTGCACGATATGGATTATTAAAACTAATATTAAATGCTTGTTCAACTTCATTTCGACTAAATCTAAGAGCATTCATTACATTAGAAATAGCATTTTCAATTTCAATTGGATCTGTTAAACTTTGAGTATATTCAAGTATATTTGATGGTTGAGATGATTCTTCTAGTATTGGTTGTATTTGTTGTTCATTGTTACTTTGTATAGAATTAATGGATTGTTGCGATGAAATCGTAATTACTTCAGTCAAGTTTCCTTCGTTATTATGTTGCGAAGTTGAAGTTGAAATGTTATTGTTAAAATTACTATTTTCAGGACGAATCATTACAACCATAAATTTTTTTTCATCTATATTGTATTCAGACAAAAGTTTGTCGTCTTCTAAAATCAATCCGCTATAAATTAATTTCATTCGATTAGCTGGCAAAATATAATTTGACAATATTTCCAATTTTTCCTTTAAATTTCGAACCGTTTCACTTTCATTCGATTCTATGTGATACACCTGCTGCCTCAACGTTTTGATTGTTATTTTCATTTTACTTTAGGTAGGTAGCTATGTATTTATGGAATTTTTCAATTAAATTTTTCATTAATATTTCACATTGACAATTTTGAAACAAAAAAAATTAAAAAATAATTACTTTTGATTTAATTTGAATTTTGGGTCAATTGATTTTATTTATGATTGCAAAGTAGATATTTTCCTGAAAAGAGAAATTTGAACATAAAACAAAGGGTATATTTTAACAAATTATCTGCTGTTCCATTAAGGTATAATATAGACCTTGCCATTACCAAGAATTGTGGGTACATATCATGAATCTATAGATACATATAATATATTTTACTTCAATCGAAACAGTAAAGTACAACTACTCGAGCTTAAGAAAATCTTAAGTATTTAATAGCTAGGATCATAATAATTTAAATGGACAATTTTCTAAATAATTAATTAATTAAATATTAATAAAGAAATATAAAATAGCACTTACCTTATAATTATTTTTGATGTATACATCTACAGACATTATAATGCGAGGTTGAGGTTTCTTATTTTTAATTATTTTATAGATAAAATTGATTTCCTTAAAAAATATCTCAAATATTTTTACAATAATAATTCTAATAACCTTAATGATATTAATTTTAATTAAATTATTATTTATATCGAATACTAAAAATTTATTAATTATAAAAGCACAATAAATGAAATAATCGTATATATTTAGAAAGTTTCAGTTTTTTATTAATTTTTCGCCGACAATTGCTTGTAGATGTTCTATTCGGCATTTCGATATTTTATTATAATAACTATAATTTTCTTCCAATAATTCAATAGTTAAAACCTGTAATATGAAAATAAGAAAAAAATTATATAAAGTTAAATTGTAATTAATTTTCTTAATTATGATTTTAGTATTAAATAAATTATATAGAATAGAATATTTTCAGAATATTATATTATAAAATATACAATATACTAATAATTAAGATTTAATTTAATAAATTTAACAAGGATTGTCTTTAAGAATTCCTGTTGTTTACCTTGATTTTATAGCGTCTTCTTTTCTAATTATAATGTACTTTGTTCCAATGTACTTTCAGATAATATCTTACTCTTACTACTCTGTTCATTTTATTTTTTTGTTTTGTAATATATTTTATATTTATAATATACATATATAATATACTATAACCACAATCAATATTCCCAATCTATGTTACAAACATCAAATATTTTCAATAATGACGCAAAATTGGTTTACATCCTATACCTAACGTAACATAGTAAATAAAAATTTAATCTAAAAATTTTTATTCTCGGATATCCCAATTTCATTTGACCCATGGCTAATAAGAAAATTAACACATTGAAATGAATACAAATTATAAGTATTAAGTAATAATTTCGTTCAGCAACTTAAAAATTTTATTTCTATTTTTTTTTTTGATCAATATGCTAAATATTATGTTTCACTGCCAATTATAATGTAAATTCAAAATGAATACATAAGAAATTATTAAATTTGATTTATAACACAATTTTTTACGATACATCTTAATTATAAAGAAATTAAATTATTCTTAAAATATAAATATTGTGATTCTTTTTTTTCTCTACAATTAAATTCAAAAATAAATAATGGAGTAATAATTTTTTTTTTCAAAATGCTATGAAACATTTAATTGTTCATTTAATTTTATTTGGAGTATACGTTCATGATTATATTTAAAAAAGTTTTGGTTAATATTTATCGTGTTCTCTTTTTTATCTCTTCAGCTAACATATCCAATTGAATTTCATCTTCTTTTCTAGTTGAAACTTCACGTAATTTTACTACACCTCGTTCTAATTCAGAATCACCTAAAACAATAGCAAATGGTATGCTATTTTCTTCACAATATTGCAATTGCGCTAAAAGTTTTGGATTAGCTTTATATGAATGCTCAGCCTAAAAAAAAAAAATTGACATAGATAAGTATTAAAATCATTAAAAATATTGAGAATTAATTATGAATTTATTTACCTTAATTCCTTGATCCCATAAATCATTTATAATTTTCAAACGTTTTTCATGTAATCCTTTATGAGCAGATGCTACATAAACTTCAACTTCAGTTGTACGAATTTTTTTACCCTCAGCAATATGTTTTGCTTCAATTACAGAAAAAATTCTTTCAACACCAATTGAAACTCCAACACATGGAACTTGTTTATTTTTTGAAAACATTCCAACTAAATTATCATAACGTCCACCACCTGCAACTGATCCAACCGTTCCATGTTCTTCATCTTCATCTTTATTATTAGGAACACCATTTTTAATGGATGGTTTAGGTTCAGAATTCAAAACACATTCATAAATAACACCAGTATAATAATCAAGACCACGAGCTAAACTTAAATCAAATAAGATTTTCTTTTCTAATCCCATACTGTGGCAATATGTCAGTAATAGTTTCATTGCTTCTAAGCCAGCAACAGCTGATTTAACTTTTGATAATTTTTCATCTTGTAATAATTTTTCAACAAGTTCCAAACCGCCGTGCAATTGTACATATTGTCCAATTTTATCAGCGCTTATTTCATCGAGACCTTTTTCTTCTATCATTTCTTTTCGTACTTCAGTCCATGGTGTCTAAAATTTAAATTTTAAAAAATTTGTTTTAGCAATTAAGTATATTGAAAAAAATATCATGTTCTAGAATATTTTACCTTATCTAATTTATCTACCGAAGAACATATAGTTCGAAATTTATCAACTGGTACACCACATGCCTCAAACATACCATCTAATAGTTGACGATGATTTAATTTAATAACATATTCTCCAATATCTAAAATATCCAAAATTTCTGCTACAATTTTTACACATTCTGAATCTGGTATCATTGGATCATATGAGCCCGCAATATCAAAATCCTTTAAAAATTCATTTTGATTAGAAATAAAAAATTAAAAGAAAGAGTATTTTTTTTTGAAAATCTCTTACACACTGATAAAATTCACGATAACGACCCTTTGTCATAGCTGGATTATCTCGACGATATACTTTAGCTATATGATAACGTTTTATAGAAGAAATTTTACTCATAGCTAAATATCTAGCTAATGGTACAGTTAAATCATAACGTAATGATAATATTTCACCACCTTGATCTTTTAAATCATAAATTAATTTGGAATCTTCACCATATTTTCCAGTTAATACTTCCTAAAATTAAAAGAAATTGTGTGTTTTTTTTTTTAAATAATAATATTGTGAATATAAATTTATTTAAATGTAATATTATGTAATATAAGAAATTGTCTTACTTTCAGTTCAAAAACAGGAGTATCAATTGCTTCAGCACCATGCTTTTTAAATACAGAAACAATTTTATCTAAAACACTTTGCCGTAATGCCATCTGTTGTGGTCCATAATCTCTAGTACCTTTTGGAGTTTTTAAAGTAAACTTATGTGGTGATGGTTGTTCATCATTTAGTTTTGCTTTAAGAGCAAGAAGTTTTGCAACTTCTTCATCAATCTGCAATATATGAAATGGGAAATTTTTGTATAAGAACAAATATTTTTCTTTTAGGTTAAGTAATAAAATACAATCAAAATAAAATTAAAACAAATAACCATAATTAAAAATTAATTATTAAGAATTTGTTAAAATAAAATAATGTAAATGTAAATTCTACCAAAATATAGTTGAATATTTTAATTATATAAGTGTAAGCAAAGAAAAACCAAATTTAAAAATAAAATTAATTGAGAATAACAAAATGCAATAGAAAACAAATTTAAGAAACATTTAAGAAAAAAAAAAAAAACTAATAATTAGCTAACCTGTTGAATTTGTTGTTCAATCACATCGTTATCATTAGGATCTCTTTTATAAAATGAATAATTTTTAATATTAATCAATCGATCTGGTAAATATGAACTTTGTTGAACCAGTTTCTTCTTAATATACCAAAGCTCACTCAGTAAATTCTTTGTTGAACCGTAGAAATTTAATTGACGCAACATTTTTTTTTATTTTTCTTTTTAATATTTTTTAATTAAATAATTTTATTGGAATTAAATTGCCAAAAAATTCGAAAAGTTGAACGATTTCTTTTATGAATTATTCAATTCTTATTTTAATTATAGTTTTAAAATACCTATAATATATAAGAATAATAATAATAACGATCTGATTAGAATTTTTTTTCTATTCTCTTATATGAAGTTTTTTATGTGCTATATTGGGATTTTTCATTCTTTTCTATCTTTTTTTTCATAAAAATTTAAAATAATAAAATTATATTTTAATTAAAATAACATGCATTTTCATTACAAACATTTTATAAATAAGAAAATTGGAAAAAAATTAAAAAATTATAATTAAATTAAAAATATTTTAAATTCTAATCAACTTTTATAATTAAAATATTTTTTTTTTTTCTAAAAAAAAATAAATTTAATTATTAATTTTTTTTCTACAACAATATTAAAAATAAATTTTATAATTAAATTAAAAATAAATGGTACTAAAGTGGAGGTAAACCAAATATAAGAGAGTTTTTATAAAATTTTATAATAAAATTTGATTTTAAATTTTAAAAAAATAAAATTGTTTTTTCATTTTTCAATGTGAATGAATGTAAAAACGTTGCGTCTTTTTAAATAAAGTAATATTTTTGTTTTGTTTTTTTTTTTTAATAAACATTTTAACTTTATTATAATATTAATTTGTTTATTTTTTTCAATGTTTAATATTAATTGTTGTTATTTTTAATCTTTTATATTTAATTTACCAACACTCCACTATAAACCACAGCACAAAAAATTATTTATTTTTTAACTTAATTAAATACTTAATGGATGATAATGGAAAAATGGAATTTTCATAATTACTATGTATAATTAATTAAGTAAATGATTTGATTTTCTAAAATTAATTATATAAAAATTTAGTATACTATATACAGAATGTCTCGTATATACATTCATTGTTATATGACATTGCATAAACCCCTATATGCAGACAAAACTTTACAACTGAACGGAAACAATGTTTACATAAGAAGTTGTAGAGGTTTAAAATCAATATCGACTATATTTTTTTACATTTTGTAATTTCCAAGTAAGTATAACTCCGTTTCTGTGTCCATTATTAAATATAATTTTGAAAAATTCAAAATATGGGCTTTCTCATGAATATTTTTATTAATTATAATCTGTTCAGATTTCGGAATCTCACAAAACTATCGAAAAATTAAAATTTTTAAATTTTATATTTAAAAAGTTATCCTTTCATTTTAACGTAGCACAGCTGGCAACCCTGCTAACCGAGCTTTAATTTCGAATATTAGTCACTTTATATCACCTATTATGATTCAGGAATTATATTTAAAACAATAAAGTATACTGCATAATTAATTTTTTTATACCAAAATTTTGTACTTCATCATCTCCATACAAAAGTTCTTTCTATTCATGAGGGTATATACAATGGCATATAACAGCACATTTACATAGATACGAAACACACTGTATATATGATTAATAATATTAGTTATTTACAGAATATTGTTATAGAAAATAAACTCTTATATTTAAGTAGGTATTATAAAATAATTGTTAGAAAGTATTGAAAGTTTTAACAGCTCAAACTCATGGGGTCAAACTCATTGGGTATAAAAATTAATATATTTTTATGACCACAATAATTTATTTATTTCTAATTAGGAATAAATATAAATTTTCGATTGCAGGACTATCGTCGCAGATAGGTTTTATAAACTCAATTTACAAATTTTGGTTTACTGACGGTTTCATATTTCTCCTAAATAGCTCTCAATAAATTGGATTTTTGTAGGATAATAGGTATTTTAATAGGTACCGGAGAAAAAATTTAATTTAAAATTTAATATGAAAATTTTTTATTTGTAGGTATATAAAATTTTGTGTTCATTTTCAAAAATAAACACTACATATTAAATAATTTCATATTTATATAAAATATTTGAAACTTAGTATTATTTCTTGTCGACCTTCCTTTAAATAGAAATCAATAAATTAACATAAGTAGGTATGTACATACCTTTTTTATTTACATATTAATAAACAAGAAATAAAACTTTTAGTCTAGCAAACTTTTATTGTGACCAACATGATTATAGATTAACAAAAACAAAAAAAATAATCCAACGAGACGAATTCGTTGACCAAAACAAAAAAACAAATAATTTAAATAAAAACCGGTGTCAATAAAATTAGGTAATACTAGATAGTAAAATTGTTATTGAAACATATGTGTGACATTCTATTAGTTTAGCAAACACGTGTTAAAGATATTGTGTATCGTAAAATTTAAGAATGAAATCTTTGCATATTAAAACACGAATGTCACACAATATGCAAAACTGAATTAGAAACACCATCTTCTAACTTCTATTTGCATTAGGTATGCGCCTATTTAGGTAGCTAGGTACATTAGTACTTGTTCTGAATTTTTGAATTTTAATTTTATCGCTTTTGTTTTGAAATCTGGTTTCTACATAAACAAGAACTATAATTATTATAAATTTGTAATTAATTCTTAGAACCTACCTAATTTAATTCTTATCTAGAATATTTTTTTTGTTGGGGAGCAAGACAACCGGTATAAACCAGTCAATTATAAATATCAGATGATTTCTAAAAATAAATTCGCAAGTTAATATTAAGAAACGTGTAGGATAGGCAGTAAAAAACTCATAATATAGCAAAAAGAAAAAAAGGAAAAAAAGAGTATGTAATTATGGAATTGATTTAAAATTCGCCGATACATTTGTTGGTATGCAGACAAATTGGCTAACTGAATAACATAATTTACAGTCTTATTGGAATTCATTCACATTTTTTTTCTTTATTTTATTGCTGCACTTACTAATAACCGGATCTTATAATTCAATAAAAATGTACATAAGTAATTGAAATTTAATTTTTGACATTTTATCAAAAATATTTTAATAATTTAAGTGTACAGTCAAAAAAGGTGATAAAATAAATACTTATAAGCCTTAAAGGTAAATTTTATAATAAGAATAATAAATAAAATTATTTCTTTAAATCATAGCCTTCAGCTGACAGGCATTAATCTCTTTAAAAAAAAATAAGTACAAAAGCAAATCAACCTTGAATAGAACAAAAACTTCAAAGATCTTAAAATCGGAAACAAATTGTAAAACTTAAGGTTTTGTTGGTGCAAAAAAAAAAATTGCCAAATCAATACCAACTCCTATACAACAAACTTCTCATATGAATAACAAGAAATTTATTCATTAACGAAATTCCTCTGTGTAATTTTTTTTTTTTAGCTTATTTCATTTTATCTGTTTTGAAACTATGCAATAAAGCAAAAAAATTGTGCAATTATGTATTGTGTGGTAAATCAAGCAGGCGAAATTAATAATAGACAAAATACCACCAAAAGCCATTCACCAATATTTCAATTGAAAGCGTTGATAATTAGAATAAAATGCCAACACGACTAATTTCTTCAGAAAACAAAATTTAAAGTGCAATATTAAATATTAAATGAGTGCAACTTTTCTTATTTTTTTACTTTGATTTTTATTAAAATTTAAAATAGATTTTTAATTAGAAAATACGATATTTAAAATTTTTTTACCCTTTCTTTTGGTTCTTTTGCAGCTTTTAATTTTCTCACTAATTCTCCTTGCTCTTTTATTAGCTCTAAAATTACCTCACGATTTTCACTCATTATAAGTTTAACAATTATTATCACTATTAATATTTACACAATTGCAATAATAATTCAATAATAAATTTATTTTTTTTATATTATTTTAACTTAAGTACTATTTTTTAATAGAATTTAAATAAAATTCTTTACGAGAAAAAAGAAAAATGCTTAAATGTTGAACACGCGGATTTCCAACAACGAATAGAAAAATTTTATTTTTCTCTTTTCAGCTGTCTACTGATTAAATGTCATTCAAAATGTCAAATTATTAAAACACAATTGAAATGTCAATTATTATATTTTGTTATGAAAAATAGATGGCACGACGAAATAAATTAGGGTTCGTTCAGAAATTAATTGAATGTTGATAACTGTTACTAACCATAAATTACATTTCAAATTTAAATACATAATTGAACAAATATTTGATTTGAATCTGTCATAATTGTACGGATATAATCTATTATTAAATTATTAAAAACAGGTTGTTATGGACAGGTTGATAATTATAATTTCAAAATTTTTAAGAATAATTTTTCAAAAAAGCTTTAAGCATGAAAGAATGGGTTACTTCTCTTTGAACGGCTAAGTTAAAGAGGATGTAGTGAATGTACATTGCTGTTGGAAATTCAATTTGTTAAACAAGTTAATCTGCGAATTTTTAAATTCTGTCCTGAATTAGATCTTCAACATAAAGCATTTTGAATAAATCGAAGCTACAAAATTTTTAAGTGCTGCTGCACGTTCGATAAATCTTTACTACAAAAGTAGCACGTTCGAAATTATTATCATGCTTAAAGTTCTTAAGTATTTTTAAAGTTTTTTTGAATGTTGAAAAAATATTTTAAGTTCATCAAAAATTGCACAAAAAAACATTTCGAAAAATTTTTAATATTAAAATTCTCAAAAAAGCAAACCTGTTAGGTCCCCTACTCCTGCAATAATGTTTTAGTTAGAACTTTAAGTAAATATCTGAATTATTAAAAATCCCGTGTTGAGACCACACGAAACTCACATTCTTGAAGGAAAAGTAAAAATTTGTGTAAATATTCTTATACTAACTAATTTTCTTACACTCTACTAAATACAATTTCATTGTATACTACTAAATACAAGAATTATTATTTATTAAATATAACTTTTATTTAAATTAAAAAAAAACCATTTTGTGTTTTAATATTTTTATTCAACAGAGTATATCTTTATACATGTAGTCAATTATTAAGTTTTACAGTATTGAACATATGTTGCACTGTTTCATAGATTGGTTGCCATCATCAAACGATTTCCTAATTGCATCCCAAAATCTTTTCAAGAAAAAAAGGAATATTATTTCATCTTTTGATAAAAAATAAATATATTCCATTGAAACACAAAATCAGGTTGAAAAAAATTGAGAATACATTTAACAAGGTTTTTCTTGGTGCTCAAATAAAAAAATTGTGCATTTTTAAAATTGGGTATTTCTGAAAATGCAATTCTTATGGTTAGAACTTAAGAATTGAAAACTAAATGTACAAATCTAATGTAGAGTTTTTTAAATTTTGTAAATCTAATCTTAAGAACTTCATTTTCAGAAATATGAATTATGAAAACATTTTTACATTGAATTAAATTTATAAAATAAAATCGTAAAAAGAATATAAAAAGCAATTTTTTTTTCCTCATTAATTTATTATCAAACTGTGAAATTACTTATATTAAAACAAATTTTTACAAGAAAAGAAAAATTCTTACAAAATATAAACATGGTTGAGACATACTAATACACATCCCGACAAAATAACAATTATTTAAGTTCAAAATACAATATCATCGAAGCAAAGAAAAATTGCAGTTCCGTCCTTCTTTTCAGCTTTATATGTAAATAAATATTTATGGAGAAAATGAAAAATAATAAAAATAAAAATTAATTGGAAACCTAAAAACTGAATTAAAAACATGTATTTATATAATTCAGTATTTTATAAAATTATAAAATTAGAATTAGATTTAATTAAACAAAACACTCAAAGAAAAAACACACTTGCTAAAATTTTATCGTGAAATTTACTTAAAACAAGCTTTAAAAATGTAAGATTCCTTAATAAAAGTAAAAAATTTTAAAATAAGAAAAATAAACATATTAATTATGTAAATCAAATAATTTGGACAAAAAGTTGTTAAAAGATCAAAATAGTCAAAATCTTATTCTTTAAAAACGTAAACTACCTATTATAATTATTATAATAATTTAAAAAAATTATATAATAATCAATATGATATTGTACATTGAACCTTAATATTCTAATAAATAATATTAAGAGTGAAATTATTAGAATGGGGCAAAAAATAAAAACTGTAAGTGCAATTTTAAATGTAATCATCGATTAACAAATAAAATATCAATATCTCAATCAATGAATTTTACATAAAAGACAAATATTAAATTCATTTAAAATTACTTAATTCTAAATAATAAACATACATATAATTAATTATATTAATTTAATTAAATTCCAATTAAATCAAATATTAAAATAATTTAAGTGCTTAGATTTCTAATTTTCAAAAAAAAAAGTTAGTACCAAAAAAAAAATAATTAAACAAACAAACATTTTAACAACACAATAATTTGAGGCCTATTTAAAAATTTAGAAATTTCAAAAATTTTAAACCAATAACAGAATGAGAAGGCATCAAATGAATTTTAAAAGCCAGTTAATTTATAATGAGTGTAATATTGTGATATTTTGATTTTTTTCATTTAAAGATTTTTAATTTTAAATTAAAGTTTAATAAAAAAAACCCATTATTAGTTCATAATATGAAAATGTTGAAATTTTTAAATCATAGTTAAATAAATAGTTTGTTTTGCAAACCTTTTTTCCAATTTTGGTTAATAAATTTATGGCATCAATAATTTTTTTAAATCCGTATTTAAATTGTTAGTATGTAATATACAATATTAATAAAAAAAAAATAAGTATTAAAGATTCTAAATTTTATTTTTACTAATGTAATAATTTTATTTATCTTAATTACAAAAAATTAACTGAAAGTTTATTTTGAACAATGTTTTTTTTTTTAATTAAATACAAATTCTTGACACATTTTTTTTTAAATTTATTATTAACTTATAATTATATAGAAAGAACATAAAACGTAAATAATTTTAAATAGGTACAATTAAATTCCCTTATATTAGTTTCACATAATTTTTTTCATTTTATATTTACTGAATTTCTAATTAAGTGTTTAAGATAATTTTGATGTTTAAATTTCTTAAAGAATTTCAAAGTTTATGACTTTTGAAATATTAGAGTTAATGATATTAATTGAATATTTTGTGTTTTGTTTGTTAAATAGAAGAGAAATTTATTAATTTCTAGTAAAATTTAAATTTTGATAAATTTATACATTTTATATGCATATATAAACTTGTTTATCGTGACAATTTAGTTCCAGCTTGTTATAAGATAATTTAGAACAAGTTTTTATATACATTTTAATAAGAATTATTAAGATTTTAAAGTTAGCAAAAATATTAAAATTATTTGCATGCAAAAATGTAGTGGAAATTAATTTTTTGTTTATCTTTTTTTTTGTATTATATTTAATTTACTATAGCTTTTTTTTGTTTCTATTTGGAAGTTTTCAAATTTATATTTTTAATTTTTTATATTAAATTATGTTATAACTAACTACACAGGCCTAATTTTGTGTGAGTTTCATTTAAAAATGCATAAATAAGTTTCTTTTTTTTATTTTTAGTAAGTATTTTATTTAGTTTTGAAACTGTTTCAGTTTTATTTCCTAGTATAAAGTTTTATAACAATTTATTATAAAATCAAAAACTAGATAAATAAAATATATTATTTATAAAAACTTTAGGAAATGAGTTGAATAAATATTACAAATACTTTTATATTTGCATAAATATTAAAATAATTTTTTTAAATTTAATTAACAAATTTACATTGTCTGTAATCAATGCATTTTTAAATTTACTCGTTTGTCTTTTTTTTTATAACAAATTTTTAAATAGTAATATAATTATGTTTAATATGAATACTTTTAGCAATTTAATATTGAATTAACATTTTATTAATATTAATTAATATTTTAAATATTATTTGTCTTTTTTATATGTATTTTTTCAATTTTAATGTGTTTTTTATATTTTTTGTTTGGAGTTGTCTATTTTTGTATTATTCTTAAACTAAACATGATTATTACAAAATAAGGCGATATAATTTATGCAAAACAAAAGGCAATTTATTTTTTTTTTTTTAAATTTAGCTGTTTTTATTTATATAAAATTTTTAATTATTGCCCAAAATTAGCAGAAAAAGGCACATAATAATCTCCCAAAATAAAAGCAAGTTATCCGCTAAAAGAAGAAAATCTTTGAAAACTTTTAATTAATCTTTTTTTTTTTAATAAATCGTTAATAAATGTTAGTTATTTATTTAGATCTGTAAAAAGGTGAATACCTTTTTGTTGATGTTGTTCTATAAGGATTTTGTAATATTTTTGGATGAGTTTCCATAACTCTTAACAATAAATTATCCAAATATTCTTCTAATTCTTTGACACGATTTCTTTCCATTACCATTTCTTTTTCAAAACTATCAGCTATTAAAATAATGTCCTAAAAATTAATAAACAAATAAAAAATTATTAATATTATGGAAAGTTTTAACAATATTTTATATTTTTTTTTTTTTTTTTGAATTTATATATTCAACTTCATTTTGATCTTACTTCTCTTGACTTTCCATCATATTTGTTTAATAATTCTGGTGATAATTCTGGTAATGAATTTTCATTTTCACTGAAATTTTCATGCCCTATTGGATTGTGCCTTTCACCATGGAAACCATTTTCTTCAATTAAATCATTTTTACTTTCACCTATAAGTTATAAAAATAATATTCAATATTTTATAAAATAATTAAAGAAAAAAATTTATACCTCTTTTAGCGAAATATTTAAATTTACCAAATCTGTGTTTCTTTTCGATTTTCTCAGTCTTCTCACTGATTTCTTTTTGGTCTTTTTTTAATTTTTCACGAATTTCTTTTGCATCTTCTGGGCTTTGTATTACATCATCGGTAAATATACTAATCGTATCACTTCTTGGTAATGCTCTTGGTCTTACTTTAGCATTATTTGTTGACGACCTCTTATTGATGTTCAAATCAGAATTATCCAACGCTTCACGAGATTGTGTTCTCAAAAGTGGTGACTTATTAAGCAATTTTTCTAATTTTGATTCTTTTTTTTCAGTTACTTCAGCATTTGTTACAGCTATTTTTGGTGATACTGGTTTCTCCTCAGAAATTTTTTCAATATTTTCTTTACTTTGATTCATTTCAGGAGTTTCTAATATAACGTCATTACGTTGTTGAGATTTTACTCCAGTTTTTGGAGAAATATTAATATCATTCATCGTTGTCTCATTTTTAGTTATTCCATTTGAACTAGTGTTACTTGATGGTGATAGCTTAACATCTTCATAAGGTTCTTCATTTTCTTCAGCCGTATTTAATGGAATACGATTATTACCCCATGATCTTCGTTTCAATGAATCTGTACTACCAATCTCTAGATGATTGCCATATAATTTTGATTCCCATTCATCAAGTTTTTGATCAGATGCATTACGTGGTGGTTTGGCTGGTGGTGATGGTATTTTTGAACTATTACGATCTTCTTCTTTTGAAATAACTGGTGATGGAATTCTATGATTATAGTCATTATGCCCGCGTGAAATATTTAATGAACTTCCTGAACTTTTATGTGACAATTTGTCGAAAACAAATTCATCATCATCTTCAATGACTCCGGGATCTTGATTGCCTAAAAATTATTAAATATTAAAAGATTTTGACAACTATAAGATTATTTTTGGAACTTAACCAAATGATACAGATGTAAAATTTAAAATGTGAATGAAACTGTGGAATTAGCAGTAAACTTAGTTTTTTTAGTGAATAGAAACTATGAAGATTTATAACACAGTTTTATACTTATAGCTTCTAAAATCTAATTTGGTAATTAGTTAAAAATTTAAACCAAATTTTATTCTCAAAAATAAAAATTAATTCTAAAATTTTTCTTTAAATTTTTAATTTTTAACAATTCTGATTCTGAACACCGTTTATAGAAAAACTTTATAATTTTTTTTTCTCTTAAACCAAAACCTCAACAAATATGAAAGCAAAATAACTTATCTATGAACACCTATATTTACTTTTCTATGTACCAGTTGAATATAAGCAATACCTACTCTGATTAAAAATCGCTAATATATTTTACGCGTTCAATACTTATACACAAACTACATTTAAAAACAAAAAAGAGAAATTATATATGGGCACAACCAATTTCTTTAACTGACACGGTTTTTTTTTTGTGAAGTATACTCACCCACACGTTTTGGCACAACAACTGTTAAATACATATTTTCTAAAGAAGAACAATTTGATGATGAACTTTCTGCTAAATTATTGAAAACTTCTGCATTTGGGTTTCGAGGCCTTGCAATTGGTATTTTAGTATTTGCCTCATTGCTCTCAAAATCAATTGATTGAAAAACTTTTGAATCAGTTTTTGTTTGTGAGTCATTACCAACATTTTTGGTTATATTTAATTTATTCGTTTTTAATTCTGGCTCAGAATACTGACTCTCATAATCATCTTCATCTTCAGAAGTAATTGTTGAAGAGGAATTTGGAATTTTAAAGGATTTTTCGAATTTGCTATCGGAGTAGTCTTCTTCTTTATTCTCAATCATCTGTAAAATATTTGAAGAAGACTTATTTAATAGGCTTTCGTTAAAATTTACTGGAGATCGGGGCTTTGGTATTGGAATTGAATTGATATTTTGAATTTCTTTGGTTTTATTTAATTCGATTATTTCTTTATTAATTTCAGTCTTTTGTGATTCAATTGTATCGTTCATTTGTACTACATTTTCATTGGCAAGGATTATTTTGGAATTAACAGTTTCACAGCGATCAATAGTACGAGTATCACAACTAGTGATATTTTCTTCATTACTGTTATCAGAATTTTGTACATTGTTTATTGCGACATGTTCGAATTCTGTCTTCTTAAAGACTTTAGCTAGATTTTCGCTTGGGATAATATTTATTTGCTTAGGATTTTCAGCAAAGGGAACCACTTTTAAATGCTCAAAATCTTCTACATCTTTAACTATTGGAATATTCATCTTTAGAAGTATTTCTTGCGAATTAGCCTTTACGAATCTTTCAGAAAGATGGCATTCGTTTACAAAATTTTCTTCTTTACAGAAGTCTAAATTTTCACAAATTTCAAACTTAGTCATTATGGATTTGGCAACAGAATTTTCACATGGTTCAGCAGTTGAACTTGATGTAGCAATATTTTCAGCAGTACAAGTTTCATAAACTTTTGGAATATATGACTCTTTAATGACATTTTCGAAATTAAGATTTTCAAATGCTGTAGCAGAATTACAATGAATTACAAAATTTTCTTCAGTAAGAGTTTCAGATTCATCCTTGATATAAGATTCGACTACCATATTTTCTTCCTTTGTACTTTCAAAAATTTCAGGGAAACTACATTGAACTGCAATATGTTCTTCATTGCGAATCTCGTGCTCTTGCTTAAGGTGAGCTACATTTGCAATGTTTTGTACTTTAGCGTTTTCAGAAACATCACGGAAACTGCATTCAACTACAATATTTTCTTCATTGCGAATCTCATGCTCTTGTTTAAGATGAAGTTCATTGGTAATGTTTTTCACTTGAGCATTCTCAAATTCATCAGGGAAACCACACTCAACTACAAGATTTCTTTCAAGGCGAGTTGCCATTTCTTGTCTAGCGCAAACTTCATTTACAATATTCTTAACTACCGCGTTTTCGAATACCTCAGCTAAGTTACATTCAATTGCAATATTTTGTTCACCCCGAGTCTCAAATAATTTCTTAACGTAAGCTTCATTTGCAATATTTTTTACCATTGTATTTTCGAAAACTTCTACCATATTAAGTTCAACTGCAAGATTTTCTTCTTTCCGATTTTCAAATTCCTGTTTGACATAAGTTTCTTTTGCCATACTTTTTATTACAGCATTTTCAAACGCTTGAGCAATATTACATTCAATTGCAAAATCTTCTTCATTGCGAGTTTCGATCTGTTCTTTGACATAAATTTCGTTTGCTATATTATTTACATGGGCATTTTCGAAAACCTCTGCAATGGCGCATTCAACTGCAACATTTTGTTCCTTCTTTACTTCAAGAATTTGAACTACATTCGATTTAACAGCGAGGTTTTGTGAAGTAAAGTTTTCAACTACCTCTTTAGTACAACACTCTACTGCAAATGCTTCTTCTTTAACGATTCCGAGTTCTCTAGCAATTGAATATTCCACTGCTTTGCTTTGAAGAGGAGCTTTTTCAAATCTTTCAATAGGCATGGTCTTAGTAGCATAGTGTTCCATTTTCATTTTTTCAAATACCTTTTCTTCGTTTGCTGGTGTTATTAGAGTTAAATTAATGTTTATTTCTGATGATTTTCTATTATATGAGTTTTCTTGAGAACATTCTAATTCAAGTTTTGAATTATCTTTAGACGAAATCAAAATTGAATTATTTCTTGGAGAATTTTGTTCAAAACGACTTCGAATGTTAGATACCGAAACTTTATTGGTACTTTCCTCACATAACGGAAAAGACTTATATTGATTCTCATGAACTTCACAATTTTTATTACAATTTGATTCATTTAAATCAGGTACACTTTCATTTTTAGACCCCAGAATCTCCACATTTTCTTCTTCAAATGGTTTTTCAAGCTGTATTGTTAAATTACTTACCTCATTTTTATGGCTAACAAAATATGGATATTTTTCTATGACTGTATCAGGTTGCCGCTCATATGTTGCAATATTATCAATATCTTCTAGTTCAACTTTTAGAGGAGGGGCAACTTGTGTAATTTCGGCAACACCAGTGTTGAATTTTACAACTTCTTCATTTCTGGTTTCGATAATTTTAGCTTTGTTTGTAGAAATAGCAATACTTTCAGGATTGACCTTTTCATATTTTTCTGCAAATTGATATTCAGCAGAAATATTTTCATGCTCAATTTTTACAAAATTCGGGCTGTTGTGAATTTGACTATTTTTAACTCTTCTAGCTGGTGGGTCAGGTTTCTTGAAGAAGTTGTCGCTATAATACATCGGATTTGCGGAAATTTCCGTGTCTGAATTTATTTCAATTTCATTTTTATTTTCTTCAAATTTAGAATTATTTTGTGGTTCAAAATCAATAATTATTTCTTTTTCTACATTATGCATCGATTCTTCAAATCTTTTTTCAATTTCTCTTTCTTTTAGTACTGGTGCAAAATACTTTTTTCTGGATGCTCTTCGTTTTGAATCTCCTCTACTAAATGTTCCAAAACCACTATCTTCATCGTCTTCTTCCACTTTATTAGATAAACGAACAGAATCATTATTAGGATTATAATCATAATAAGATTGTGAAGTTAACGAACTGAATGGTGAACTATTGCAAGATAAATTATCTAAAGCAAAATCATCATCGGTATTACTTGGAAGAAATTGGCGAGGTTTCGGTTTATGTGTTTCAGGGACATCTAACATCTGAGAATTTCGGCTTTCTTGTAAAATAGGTTCATCTTTTGCTCGTAATACAACATCGTGGTCTTCATTTTCAAAATGACTATTTCGGATATCATACTTTTGAGATCCATTCTTAAGTAATTCATCTTCTGATCGTTCTGGTATTGGAAGTGGAACACGAGTCTTACCCCATATTCTTCTTTTTAATGAAGGTGTACTATCTGAATCCATTTGATTTACATTTATATTTGAATTTGAATTATTTTGATTACCCATTGATTTATCACCATTTTGTGGAACATTTTTGTTTTCGGGAACACCATTCGAAAAATTATTTTGCGATGATATGGTAACACTCGGGCGATTTATAGTAGGTGAATTATTGATATTATGTTCTTGTGCATACGATATATTACTAATTGAACTTCTTTGTGATAGTCTATCAAAATTTATATCACCATCATCAGCAACGCCAGGATCAGTATTGCCTATATTAGATGGTAACATAAGGCATTTAAATTATTATTTTTGAATAATATGGTGTGTATGAGTTATTATTATAAACGAATAATTTGGTCAATCTAACCTATTCTTTCTACACGAGCCCCACATTTATAAATTTTTTTAACATAACGTATTAATTTATTTCACTTTGTCACAATAGCTTAAATAACATATTTGTTTTTTTCATTTATGGTTGATTTTCGAACAAAAAGCGAAGCTTTAAAAGCTAATACAAAAAAAAAAACCTTTTTTGAATATTTAACTCAAAACAATTTTGAAACCAGATTACAAATTGTGTATATTAGGCCTAAACCTTCAATCTATCAAAATAAATACAATTAATGTTATTATTCTATAAACGGTAGGCGATGAGTTAAAAAAAAAAATATTAAATACATAAATAGCATAAAAAATTGCAAGATTTTCAAAAATATAAAAAAATAAGTTTGTTAAGTGCAAACAAAATGTGCTGTTAGTTACGAAGCTTTATGAGATTAAAACTAATTTAAAAGCATGTGTAAAAAATAAATAGCATTTAAATAATAATTGGGTAAAAAATTTTAGTTTCTTCAGTTTTTTTTCTTGGAAAATAAAATTTAAAAATTAACTTACAAAAATTGAGTAAGATAATAATTTTAATTGATAGTTAAATATGAAAATTAAATTTTTTTTAGAAAAGTATTTACGAATTATTTATTTGAAATTAAAATATAATGAAATTTTCTTAGATACTTGATTAAATACATTAATCAAACATTTCTTTATATAGGCTTGGTCATGTATCTCGCTATTTTACTCGCCAAGTGAGAAGAAAATTTGTAAATATCATTTTATTTGGACAATGTAAATTTCGAGTGAGATTTTTTTCAAAAATAATTATACAAAATTTAATCACCATTTATTCACTCCGTTTTTGAAGGTGATAGTTTCAGTAGATATTTTAGTTTAGATTGTAGCGAAAAAATTAAAAAAAATTCAATAGAAAAATTAGTAATCTTATTGGAAAAATGCAATATTCAATTGCAAAAAAATAAGAACACTGATTTGAAGGTGAATAAAAAGTGAGATTAAAAAGCAAAATACACGATTAGGCTGCGAGGTTCAACATTACATTGAGTTCTACTTAGAAATTTATTTATGAAAAGAGAAATTTAATAATTCAATTTAGAAATTTATTACAAATACTTTTTCAACTTTATTAAGCATTTAAAATTCAAATATTAAATTATCAAAAAATAAATAAAAAAATTCTTATAAGTAATTTGCTTTAAAAAATAAAAAAAAAACTAAAATTTCCTAATGAAAATGATGAATTTATTAAAAGCAAAGAGCATGCATAAAACAAAAACAAAAAAAACCCTTAAATTATTTTATTTACATTTTATTTAATTGAAAATCAATTGAATTGGTTTTCATTTTATAATAAAAATTGGTCATGCATTTAAATTTATTTTTGATTACATTAATTAGAATCGAAAGGAATAGATTAGGATTAAATACTCAAAAACCAAAAAGAAAAATTTTAAAATATTAAATTAGTTTTTTAACTCACAATCACCATTTTACCAAAAAAAAAAAAGAAAAAATTAAAAATAAATAAGAAAGAAAAAATACTAAAAAATATTTTAAAAAATTATAAAAACAAAAATTCTTACCAATATAACTTCTACCATTCCATTTTCTTGAACCGCCTAATGAACTATTTGGTGTACCAATACTAGCCATACTTCCGGTAAATGATTCTGAATCTACATCACCACCACCACCTTTTTTATCTTTTTTCTTTCCAGTCAAATGTAATTTTGATCCAATTGATGTTGCAATCTTTTTAATACCTTTTTTCTTTTCTAATGTACCAATACTTAATAAACTACCACCAACTGATGATGCCAATTGATTAAATGATGATTTATGTTTCTCTTTTTTACTTAAATCACTTAATGAACCAGCTTTAACAGTAAAATTAATTCTCACTTCTAATTCACCACGTTCTTTATCTTTTTTCTCTTGTCCCGGTTTACTTTGTAATTTAAACCATTTGGGACGTGGTGTATCATATGCATCCATATCACGTAATGGTAATGTTACTTGTCCTAAAAATTCATCAATACCTAAACTGTTATGATGTAGACATGTTAGAATCAATTCAGCTGTATTTCCTTTTTCTGGAATTGCACTAAAATAAAAAAAAAATTAGAATTAATTTAATAATTATATTAAATATACATAATATACATACATAACGTACATATATGTATATATTTAAATGTGCAATATACTTACAGTTCACATTCTTCATGCCATTCAACATTTTGTGATGCCTTCTCACGAATTGATGTTTGATATTTATCTTTACCCAAGGCAATTGTAACAAAACAATTATTTGTACCATTTTTACCTTTTGTTAAAAGACCTTTGGCTCTTTGAACTTTATATTATTTTAATTGAAAATAAATGAAAATAAAGAAAAATAAGAAATTTAATAAATTTAATGATATTATAAAAATATTTAAAATTAATTTCCAAATTAAGTGAGAGTGACACCCTGTTCTTTAAATATACAAAATTTTATTGTATAAGTTTCTTTTGAATTTTCCAGTATTGCGTGATATCATTGCTGTATTCAAATATGCGTAAATTGTTGAAATACCTAAACTTTCTTTCAAACCATTTTAAATTAAAAAAAAAATTGTACACGAATCTTACATTACTAAATTAACTGAGATCTCAGCATAAGATAATTTTATGTACATTTCTAAATGTACACGTTATTTCTGATTTTGATAAAAGAATCAAAGTTGTTAAGTATGTAAAAATTTAATTCCATAAATGGAAAATTTCCTTTTATTCAGAAAAGTCACGTAAATTATTTTAATATTTTACAAAAAAATTAATTTACTTTAGTACTTGCTTGATGTTTTTCCAAATTTATTTTGTGTGTGGTTAAATTCGACTTTTTAAAATCATTTTTAATTAAAATCTTTTCAATCGTCCATTGCACTAGTTCCTGTTGTCTCATTTTGTTTATAATCATCTATCCGCTTCAATTGCCCATAAAATGTCATGTAATATAGTTCTTACCGTATTGTAAATATTTTAAATTCTCGTTCTAAAATAGTGTTACCTAGTTAATTCTGTTTTGAAAATGTTTGTTATTACGAGTACCAAAAACATTAACGCTAGGAGCGCTATTACTCGTATAATATGTACAATTTTCAGATCAACAATTACGTGTCAGTGTTGCAGCAAATGAGCGATGTAGTTTTGCTTGTCTATATTAAATAAATTTTTTCTTAATTATTTTTATTATGATTTTTATATTTATTTAATTAAATATTTAACAAACAAGTCGCCAACTCTACAATAATTTATTTAACATCACCAAATTTAAAAAATGTTTTTATTCTATCTTTTTCTTACAAATTTAAACATTGTGTTATTGTAAAAATCATTTGTATTACAATTTAACTGATTTCCTATCTCTTTGACAGTATAACGTTTAGGCCTAATTTCTCATTCTTTCTAATGTGTTCAATCTCCTAATCTTATTTCTTGTTAATTAGCAGCTATTAAATTTAATATTTTTAAAGAGAAATAAATTAATACTTTTTATTTTCTTATTAATTAACAATTTTTTTGCAATTTGTAATTTAAGTAAATAAACGTGTATTTAATTTATTGAACCCTAATAAATGAGACAAATAAAATATGGGACGATCATTATTTTTATTTAGAATTTATTTCCTAATTTTCTATTTAAAATCTTTTACAAAATCATATATAGTTTCTTCATGTATACATGTACGTATACCTACACGCATTAATTATATTCTTTTTTATTTAACTGAAATAATTTTTTTTTTATTCATTAATTAGATTAGATTTGAATGACAAATAATTTACGATAATTGGATAATCAAAACGTGGCCGTTTTTTTTTTTAATAATAATTGTGAAGAATGACAAAACAAAAACAAAAAAATAGCAAAAATCTCATGTTATTTTGTTGACTCGTGAATGCTTAAATTTTACACATTCTAATTATATTTTGTCTATGCAAATATGAGCCTATGTAGAAAATTAGAGAAAATATTGTGACTTACGTTGCAATAATATTTAGATTAGAATTAGAAAAAAATCAGAAAATAACTAAAATAAGAAAAATATAAAATTTTAATTTTAATGTTTGAAATTCGTAAATAGAAAATTTCTTCAATTTAAACTGATCTAGATAAAAACGATTCTATTCTTTTGATTAATTTTTTTAGATTTCTTTTTTATAGTATGTTTAATAGAGATTTAATGAATTAGTATTCTTATAATAAACTTAATTATCATAAATTAAGTAAAGAGATTTTTATAAATCGTTTAATTTCGCCAAGTTTAATTCTATATACTTAATATTTCTAGATTATTTCAGAATTTCGCCAAGATGTACATACATACATAAATAATAAAAATATAGGAAATTGACTACATAATTGGTGTAGTGCAAAACATACAGAAAAGTAACATGTCTTATAATAAGTTAACATGTAAAATAGCACCAAATGAATTGAAAATGAAACTATTTTTAAAATATTAATGTAGATTTAAATTTAAAACCGAATTTTATTTTGAAATTATTGCAAGCAAATGCAAGTAACTTATTTTGGGCTAAAATTACTAGAATTAAAAGATATCAGCTGTTATACTACAACGCTTTAATAATGATTCAATGCTTTAATAACGCTTAACTCAACAAAGATTATATAAGAACAAACAAATAAAATTAATGTAAATTTTGAACGTAATGAGTAAGAAACTAAGAAATTAAATAAATAATTAATTAATTAATTATAATTAATTAAGTATGTTTAATGAAAAAATGATTTTAAAGAAACTTTCACTTTCATCCCTTCAAATATCCAAAATAATAATTAATTTTGTCATTTTACATTGTGTATACTTAGTTATTTAATGTCAATTTTATGCAGTGAATATTTATGTCAATTTTTAATAAGTAAGTCAAACTTTCACTTTATAATTGCAAAACGAAAAAAAAAAATGAAAATCAAAAATGTTTTAATTGCATATTTTCAATTTTTTGCAAAATTTACATGCAATACTTACCTTTTTAGGTAAACCATAGAGTAAAATAATAAGATGTAAACGTTTCGGTACACTGAACTAGTTACTTAAAATTTACATTGTTTTTTTTTTCTTGTTTGTTTTGTTGGAAACAAATGAGTAATTTTTACTTTAATGTGCTAACATGAATCTCAATTAAAAACAAAAGTTTTGTAATCTATAAACAAATACAATTTTTTTTTTTTTTTGATTTGATTTGCCGTTTTGTGCAAAATCAAATCAGAGTATGAAAACCTCTTATCTTTCTTTAAAATGGAAGCGTGAAATTTTTTTTTGTTTTTGATAAAAATTTGTAAATTTTTTTTTTTTTGTTTCTAAAACAAAGTATAAGAGCTTTTTGCGTTTTTTATTCAAATATTGTTGTCCTTGCTTTCAAATAAGTACTCAATTTTTTTGTTTTGTACTTTTAAGATAAGAAATTTGTTAAAAGAAAGGCCTGAAGCTGATATGCAAACATGCTTAAATATTTTGGAAATTTTATATTTTAATTTAAAATTAGATAATTTCAATGTTTCCATTCTTTTTTGTGAATATTTTCTAACAATATGATAAAAAAAAATAAGTACAAAATTCAAATACTAAAAATGTTGCCTTCAAATTAGAATTAATAATACAAATTTTAATTTGCAAAAACAAAATGCGATAAAAATTAAATAACAAAAGGGTTAAATAACAGTTTTCATTTAATTTATACAAAAGTGCAATTAAACACTGTTATATTTTTTATAAATCCATATACACAATTACATATATACACATACATATACAAACGTAATCAAAAATGAATTTAAAAATTTAATTAATTAATTCTAACATAATTGTAATGCAAAAAAAAATTTCAATAAAAAAAAAATTAGGTTAGTAATTAAGTTCACGTTTTTTTATAAGAAAAAAAAGCAACAAAATTACTTAAAGTACGTCGTGCACATGTTGCATATGTGCAATATTATACTTATGCATTAATTAGAAACTATATCAATTAAAATTTGTTAGACATACTTAAGAGGAAACTTTTGATAATATCAAATACATTACTTAAATTTCAATTCATAAATATTTATTCATGTATTGTGTGTTTAGATCCGAGAATTTTCTTGAGCAATGAGCTACTCATATACTTACAATTAAAATGTGCAAGAAATTAAAAATGGTTATCGTTAGGCATGCTACCATAATCTGCAATGAAATCTAAGATAACAGAAACTCGTTTTAGAATTATTTCAGTATTTCAATATTATTTTATTTTGTTGCAATATTTACAAGATAAATTTATAGCTAAAATGCTAATTAAATTGAATTTATTCCACAATTTCTGATTAGTAAAAAAGTGTATTTTACTTATCGTAAATTGTGTAAGTTATAAAATTTTAATTATTATTTACTCAAAAATTAAAAAAACAATATTATTTTTTTATATTTTTGTTGAGCATGTAGTAATATTTTATTAAAACTCGAATTTTCATTGCTCTCGATCTAATTGAGTCTGATGAAAGTCATTTTTCTGACGGCAAAAATAATAAGAAAATTATTTTATTCTCATCAGATTTACTGTCAATATTTGACAGTAACAATCAAAACATCAAAATGGCAATAAAAATGGCAACAATTAATTTTCGTGGAAGTTTGACACAGCGATGAGCTAATTTTTATTTTTGTTATAATTTTCATAGCAACCTTGTTAAACTTTAACTTTAAGTCGGCCGGCCAACGGATAGGTAATTTCAGTTTAACTATCTATTAGGTAATTTCAGGACAGTTATCAGACTTTGTCATAGAATAAATCATAGATTTTATTGTTTATGTGAACCGTACCTCATAATTCTGATTTGACATATTTATACTGTTTAACAGTATGAATGGTTTTTTTAGTAAAACTTTTTCAAATTTTAGCTTTTATGTTTAAAACTACATAATATTATTTTTACAGTATTGCCATTTGATTACAAATTAAAAAAATATTTGCGATTCTATTTAATTGGTGGCAATTAACGAATATTATTTGAGCGTATTAAGTGCAAGTGCTGCGAATCAAAGATTTATTAACAGCACATTAAAAATTTAAAATTTTCAGTGTTCCTATAAATCGATTACCGTATTTATTTACATTTCTATTATCATTGCAAAGGTAAATAATCTAATTTAAAGAAAATTCTCTACGAAACCTCCTACATATATGTACGTCATACTTATATATATGAATACTTCTATATAGAACTCAAAACGTGCACCGAGCTTCAAAAATCAAATTAATTTTACTTTTCAAATATTTTCTACAATAATATGACTAAGTTATAGCAGT